TATATATATAATGTCAGCGATTTGCCATAATAAATTCATATTACATGTACTTGCCAACACTAGTTTGAAAATTAACTTTTATATGTCAGGGGACTGCGGTACTTGCTTCTATTAGTCAAGCTGAACATACTAAAATATGTTTGTCACAGATGAGTTGCATTTGAAGTACAAATCTGCAGGACCACATACAGTCAATTTCTCACCAAGGAAGCACTTCAACTACTTCTACAATGACAAATGTATCGTAACTCACACCTAGAATTTAAAAGCCAGTAACTAATAATTGCTCTGCTAGATAAATAAACATGAAAGCTATCACCTGAACACATGCTATGAGAAACACTTCCATTTTTATAGAAAACCCAGTTGGAATATTGGCTTTTTGCACTCAGCTTAACTTTACAGACAAATAACTGGACTGCATATAAATAGCTGATTTTTCAACAAAGTAGTTACTAAAAAGTATTACTGTAGAATGTAGAAACTGCTGTCACTATAATGTATAGCAAACTGTCATTCTTTCTATCAAGCATAAATGCTGCATGCCAGAATAAATGTGGGTCTTTATCCCCGTGTTAAACCAGTGAGAAGAGTAATCTGGTTGCAAAAATGCTGCCTGCTGCGTTTTTTGAAAGTTGATCTTAACGTTTCATGATCAAGTGATGGGGTAAGGGGTCATTCCAGCCCCATTGATGTCTCGGTTGATGGAGTTCAACATAGAAAAGTCATGTAGTGTTTATCTGTTAAGAGAAAAGTCATAAACATGATTGCTCATTTAACACCACCCAAATGATGTATTTGTCTGATCTAGAGACTGTCAAGTGTATGCTGGCCATACACTTGACAGTCTCTAGACCAGGGGTAGCCAAACCTCAGCCCTCCAGCTGTTGAAGGACTACAAGTCCCATAAGGCACTACAAGCATCTGACAGCCACATGCATGACTACCAGAAGCACATACATGATAGCATTGGTAGTTTCACCACAGTTGGAGGGTTGCGATTTGGCTATGCCTGCTCTAGACAATTGCAACCAGCTTGTTGATTGCAAAAATCAGTAGTCAAAGCCAAACTACCACCAGAAGTCTTCTGGTAGTAGGTTGCTTGGATCAGTTTGGTCATTTTGATGATTGAAAATAGTTATAACTCCCAGGAAATGTTTAATTGTATGATCTGCACTAGGTTGATGTTACATGAAATATTTTCCTGTGTTTTTTTTTTTATTTGAAAGTCAACTTACAGCAATTTATAAACATTTTATAAGTAAAAAAAAATGCCAGAGATTGTTGATTGAGGTAATATCTGATTGTGTTGGGGGATCAGGAAGGACTTTTTATTTGTCCCCTGTTGGAGCAAATTGAACCATGCTCTATGGGGGGAGGGGCTTACTATGGATTATCTGTGGCTAACTGTTGGCACAGGGTTATGTTTATGGAGGTTTTTCTTTTCTTTCCTTTTTACCTCTATAGGGTGAGCGCGATTGACTTTTTCAACTATGTCAAAATTAAATTCTAAAATGAGATGATGTAATGTACCTAATTGCAGTGCAGGCGTTAGCAGCATTCTATTTTTGTTCGATCTTCAACAGGTCATGTTATGTAACCCATATCAAAAAATCACAGCTGCCCCAATTAGTGGGCTTATTCTGATACATGTTAGTAATTAGCACACCTGCACATGTCTAGAAAACACCTGCAAGTAATACTAGAGAACTGTAAATTGGAAACGACACGATAGTCTGCAATTAATACGTATTGACCCCGCATCAACCCTTCAGCAGTGCAGGTTCTTCAATGCACATGGGATTGACACAACATGCCTGTTGCGTTTTAAAGAAAACACCTGATTTGATTGCCTTCACAGGTTCACAGAGTTAATAGCATTACAAAATGGCTATTAGATGCAAAAACTAGGGCAAGGTAGTGTAAATTGGACTTGTGTTTGTCACATGCAATTTACAGTGGTTGTCATTTTTACACACTGTGCCATGCACTGTGTGACACCGTGCTGGAGGCTTTTCAATTATATGCAAATTATACAAATTAAGAATAGTTTATGCAGATTTGGAGAGTCTACCCCAGTGCAGTAATTAAAAGAAAGACATAGCAAATAAAATGCATGCTAATGAGATTCTGCAGGAAGAAGTATGCCTGTACTTCACTGTCAGCTGGGAGCTGACAGTTAAAGTATAAAGAAAACAGACACTTCTCTTTCATCCCCTGAACATATCACAATTCAAATGTTAGGAAAATAACCCAATAAACGCTTTTTTTTCCGAACTGAAGCCATGATAAACAAGATAATTAACTGCCTGTATGTGTCTCAGCTGCTGCTCGCCACGTGATCTCTCACACTTTCACAGCAGTGGGAAACTGGGAATAAAGCTAGCATAGAACCGCTGGCAGACCACGAGGTCTCACTAAGTATTCTGCTCTCTTCATTTTCATGCTCAAGTTCAGGAAACTTATCGAGCCTCTTGCAGAGAGTATATCAATTTCAAAGCGGCTTGGCGTTTGAAAGTATATCATGCGATGCCGCTACACAAGCTACGTTTACAAGTTAGGCTAAAACTGCTGGATGCAATTTTGCTTTTGAATAATGTATAAAACATACCCCTCAATTTATTGAGATGGGACGAAGGGACACCTTTTAGCATACATCATGTCAGCTGTGTGCTAAAAGGACAAACAGCAACTATGACCCTAATTAAACAGAAAATGAAAAATTCATAAGCAATAAATGATCAACAAAACATCCCTAATGTTAGAATCTGAAAATAGCACATGCAATCATTTAAAGGTAGGATGAGAAATTTAATGACACATGTTTGATAGTTAAAGAAGATATTGATTTATAAAAGTCTGTATACCAGACGAGAAAAAGTGACAAGTTGCAAAAGAGAACCTGACCTCCTGAGACAGGGACAATTGGGAGCTATACAACATAATAACCAGAAAAATAATTCTATTGATAGATTTAAGGGGACAGCATATCTAAAAATCAGGTTTGTTCATGTAAAACACCTACAAAACAGTCATAAATCTGCACACAGAAGTTCTGACACTTGAACAGAATCCAATACATTTGACAATGCTATTTGGCTTATTATTTGTTGTTAGATCTACAAAAGGCAATTAGCAATTATTTATGCTTATTCAATAAATACAGTGAAGATGTGCTAATTACACTAACCCACTAACCAGACTACTGTACTCAGACCAGTTAAGTCTGATTAGTACTGTGATTTACTGCATGCTTTTTGCATACCATGTTCTACCTTGATCACTGAAGATTAGCTACATATTATCTTTTTTTTCATTATTACAAAGATTTATTGACTTTATTGATTTATTTAATACAATCTTAATACCCAAACCAACTTTTTTTCCATATACATTTATTGCAGATAAGCCCTGACACTTCAATATATCTACACATGAGGTACTGAACTTGCCTAGAGAGATCAGTGTGTAAATGGCTATTACCAGCCCTTTAAGGAAAACAAGTGCCATGCACCTGAATTTTTGCAATTTGTGCTATAATATACAGGACTATGGATGAGCAAAATCGAGAGATTTCATTTCCCCAAAATGTTGGCAAAAATCAGAGATTTTACTGCAAAATGCATTGATGTTTCATTAAGGTGGTATTTAAGGGTGCAATGAGCTTTAAATACACAGCGAGAGTTCAGAAAACGTATTTCAACTATCTTGAACTTGTGCATGTGCCAAAAATAGTCTCTGATTAGCGGCATTATATTGCTTTTTGATTTTTCAGTAAAAATCTAAATCTTTTAAGTAACAGTTCACAAATATACAAAACACAACAGAAGGGAGGGGGAAGTCACAGACACAACACTAAGGAGTCTATTTATAAATATTCCCACACAAGATTTACACATTCCACACATTTCCTAAATGAATTCATTTTTAAATATGTATGAATCCTGCATGGGAGAAATTCATCTAAGTATCTTAATGGTCAAAACTGAGTCTGCTGCAAGATTTTGCCAACAGCGAAATCTGTGATTTTGTGGTACAATAAATGTATCTGAAATCCCAGTTATTCTCCTTTAACAAAATTATTTGACTTTTGCCACAGCAACTTGAGCTAATCTCTAGGGCACACAAGCCCTTAGGTGGGATAATTAACAAGTGACATGAGCTCAGTAGTTGCATATTAAAGTTAAGGTACTTGAATGCATTTTTAAGATTTAACTCCTGAGTTTGGTGCCACTTTAAGGGAAACAAGTGGCTTCTGCTTGGGCTAATCTCTAGGGCACTCAAGCCCTTAGATGGAACAATTAACAGTGTTGGTGGCATACAGTGTATGTATATGTGCTATGTGTCAGCACCCCATGAACCTCTAGAAGAGCAGCCTATGGAAATGGTTACCTTCTCTCTCCGTGTATGACATAGGAGCTCCTGAAGAAGCCCAGCAGTTCATTTTCTATGATAGCGTTATAAATGATTTTGAGGTTGTAACTTTTCTGTGCCTCCAGGCTCCTGTTTAAAACCAGTACTAAAACTTGATTGGCCGGATAGGCAAAGAAGCTGGAAACTTTGACGTCCCCGGCAGCTCTGTCTTCTGCCACTTGGACTCGCTCCACAGTCAACCTGTGTGCATGGACCACAATGTATCTGCTGGAGTTCAGGCATTCGATCTCCACGTTGAGTTCCCCAGAAAAAGTAAAGTTGTCCATGAATGCGGTGATCATCAGATTGTAGTGGAGGGGTTTTAGGTGTGTGGGGAGTCTCAGGTAGGTCCAAGGCTTCCAGTCTTCTTCTTCATCTTTACCTGCCAGGTGATTGGTCCCATCTCCTGCGTCCTTCCCCACTTCCAGCAGGTTCTGGTTGAACCTGGCCGCCTCCAGAACGCTGCTGTTAATTGTCCTGCCGGAGCCATCAGGACATTCTTCAAACCTAATACTGAGCAGCACCGCGATGATAGTTACCACGATCAAAGCCAAGATCGAGATGGCAAAGCCCATGACCAGCTTTCTGTGGACGGTGATCTGCCTCTCGGTGGTCCTGGGTCTCACGGCCACGGTGTCAGCCCACTGGTCCTGTACACCTCTGCCGTTCCTCATCCCGGAGTCTTGGATCGCCTCGGAGCTGAGAAGTAAGCTGTTCTTCTGCCGTTTACTGTCCAAAGCCATAGCAGTTCATCCTGCAACTCCAGTGGAAGGGAAAAGCCCGGCTGTCACACTGCATGCGAGCGTACCCTTCTAGGACTTGGGGCTTCACCAGCCACTTCATGTCGCCTGCGAGAACGGAAGCATGATCCCATTAAAACCTTTACTGCCTGGCTGTCATCAGCGGGCTTTGAGGGAAGGAGGCTTCCTCGGCATCCCTTTAGACGAGCTCGCTCCTCCCTTCCAGCCGCTGGGTGGTGCAGACTGTGCGTGCTGCCCATCACTTCTTAACTTCACCATCACCTACCTATCACAGCTAAATAAAAAAAGAACTACCCTTACCCTGCACTGCAAGGGTTAACTGCTGCTTTGTGTCTAGAGGACCTGTGTAAAGGGCTTTTACTTACCTGATCCACCTTTTACACTGGCTCAAAGACCAACACTTCTTCTCCCCTTTGCTGTGGACAGGGTCACCCCTATAATGAGGCAGCTGGAAGTGGTTGCCTCAAGCAGCATCTCATTGGGTCATGTGGGGAGGGACCGCAGCTGTGCCCACCACCCCCTTTCAGGCCAGGGTGTCCCAGGTTGTAACGTGGGACACTCTGGCCTGTGACCCACCCAGTTTACTGATGGCACTGGTTGCCGGGAGTTGGGCGGGATGCTGGACTGAGTTACCATGCCATACCCATGCACCGCTACCCCCCCCCGTAATGTGCACCCCAAACACCCCCACCCCCCTGTAACATGCACCATCAGCACTCCCCTTTACCAACATGCACCACCAGCAACCACCGTCCAACCACCGATAACATGAACCACCCCCCAGTAATGTGCAACACTAGCACAGACACAACCCACCCCCAGTAACATGCACCACTTATTTTATATTGAGTAGATTAACATTTTTATTGTGTTACTGTGTCATACTGAAAGGTTTAATGAAAACCTGTGCTGGAAGAAACACCATGGCTGCCACTGCTTGGGTCACGTGTGTGTG